TACCTGTGAACTAAGCTACAGCACTGCAGATGGTAATTTGTAATAGTAGTTTCATGTTTGGAGTGCCTGTCATTGTGGTATTCTGAATATGGGCTGCTTGTCATGACATGCCTGTTACTGCTAAGATGTCTCTCAGGTAGGTGGATGTTCAAGAAGAAGGGGGTGGTGAATGAAAGCAAGAGACAGGAAAAGGAATATTGTGCCAGGGTAGCTTACACAACAAACATTTATTTCTAATAATTCTAAAGACTAGGGAGTCTGAACTTTAGGGTTTGGAGAAGGCTTACTTCCTGCTTTAGAGACAGCCATCTTGCTATGTCTATATATGGCTGAGAGGCAACTCATCTCTCTTACGTCTTTTGAAAGGGCACTAAACTGACTCACGAGGGCTTCCTTCTGAGGACCTAATTACCTTCTAAAGTCCTCACCTCCAAAAGTCATCGTGCTGGGACTCAAGTTTCAATATGTGAATTTTGTAGGGAGGTAAACAGTTCCCCAACACAGGAAGCTTCACAGGAAAGGTGACACTGATTGAAGAATTGATGCTAGCTAGGAGTTTTTCATAGGTCAGGGGACATGTGGGCAAAGGAGGATTCTTGATATGTCAAGAAAAGAGGGTGTTTGATTAAATTGAACTTAACAGTATGTGTGACAGAATGGGGAGAGTTAGAGCTAGGCTCATACGATTCTATGCTTTCCGTGTCAAGCTAAGGAGCTTGATTTTCATCTGTGGGTCAGATACCAGGAGATGGCAGACTGTAAAGCAAGGGTCAAATGGTTGTATTGGCTCACAGAAAAGATAACCTTGGTGGAAAGGATAACGTTGGTGGCAGTGTGAAAGGTGACTTGAAAGAGAAGGGGAGAAGAGTGGAGGCTGAGATATAAGGTGTGATAATCTAGGTGAAAGACTACAAGGCCCTAAAATAAGGCAGAAGCAGTGGGGATAATAACAGAAAAAGATACAGATTGGAAAGACATTTTCAGGACAGGATAGCAGGATTTACTGACTGACTGAATGGATATATACATACATACATATATATATATATATTTAATTTTATTTTTTTTAAGATAGGATCTCACTATATAGTCCAGGCTGGCCTGAACTTGTGGCAATTCTCCTGCCTCAGTCTCTCAAATATTAAGATTCCATGTGTGCACCCCCATGCCTGGAAGTAACTGAACAGATGCGATTAGAGAGAGGAAAGGGCTTTTGTAATTATTTGGTTCCATCTTGGAGGCAGGTTGGATTGAAACATCATATACTAAGATGGAGACTATAGCAGGAAGGATAGATTTTGTTAAGATGGAAAGCAATGGTTAGTTTGCATATTGCCAAGTGCCTGGGGGACAGTCAACCAAGTTATGAAATAGAATGAGGGACAGTAGGACTGCATGCCTCTGGCGTCAGGACTCTAGAAGTCTGATGATCTTGAGAGATAAGTGACATTAAAGGCACAGCAGATGAAGTATCACGGTACCTGGGGATATGGGTGAGCATGTAAGAGCAGCACAGCCCAAATAGCTTGGATTATATGAAGAACAGGTTGGAGGACAACACCATGCATTACAACAAATACTGTGAAATTCATATTACTGGTTAAGTGAAAATCTGTATCACAATTTTTTATTTGAATTCTAATTTGTAGTCTCTTTTAAAAGTTAAAAAATAGGGCAATCAGGAGATCAGTGGTGGCTTGTTCCTGTCATTCATTAGGCCAACAAGCATTTACTGAGTGTACATACAAGGATACAGAGACAGAGATGCTCTTTCCCTTCACTGCACTGCCCTTAGCTAGTGCGAGAGCTACCCAGAGGGTAGCTCTTCCCACACAGGCCTGCTGTCTGTCCTCAGCTTGCTTGCTGGGGACCCTCTATGAAAGAATCTCACAGACTCCCTCCCTTCTGCTAAGATGAAGAACTATTGCTGCCAATTCTCTATGTCTCAGTCTGAGGAATTTTTCATAGAACATAAAAAGAGAAGCTTTCAGAAAGGGTTTCTTTCCTTCCTAATTCTTCTAAGGGGGGAGAGGAGCATCTGAAACATTATTATAAGAAATCAGCCCCACTGAATAAATACCCTGTGTATTGTCATTATTTCAATCAAGGCATTTAGGATGGCAAACAGTGACTTCCTTCAGGAAATGAATAAGCTGATGGGCTCACTGGGCCATGACTGGTATAAGCAAGTGGCCCAGTACAGTGCTGACGGAGTTCATTGCACTGCTTCCATTGATAGCTTGGCAATCAACCCAACTGCTACTAACTTGACTAGACTATTCTTAGCATTCCTTTTTCTACCCCAAAAGCTCTCTCCTCATCCATACTTCTCTTAGATCAGAACCTCTTCACTGATTTTCTAGGTGAATAATCTTGTAAAGTCATAATTTGTCTCCCACGGTGTGGCGACAGTTGCCTGTAACCCCAACACTCAAGAGACTGGGATAGAAGGATTTCAGTGAGTTCTAGGCCAGCTAGGACTTGTCTCAAAAAAATAAAACAAAACATAATTGTCTACCATCTCTCTTTTTCTATATCATTTCTTGTTTATTCATTACTTACCAATGGTATCATTTATATAGTTTCATCTTTTAAAGTTAACCATTAAGTTATCTCACTTATCTGTAATTCCATTGTAGCTCTTTTTTTTTTAATCTGTGGAACATATTTTATATATTTTATCTTGGGAGTAAGCTTCTGTGACAGTAGAGTAGGAGAAATCACATAAACAAATGCATCTATATTTTCTTTGAATATTCTAGGAAACAGAATACAAAAGATAAAAGTACAAAATAAAATTTGGTAGGTTGTTCAGTCATATTATAGTGTTACATGAAATAACCTCCCTAAAAGGCTGTGACCGATGTCTTTGAAAACTTTGAAGACATGGGACCAAGCCTACGCTTTTCCATTGATAGAAAAGTTAACTTGATTTCTATAATCAGACCCAATTATTCTTAAGTAGCTTTAACAGCATCACATATACAAATATGGTTTGTATTGGTCAATATTATAAGTTATTTATTGATGAAAGAAAATTAATACTCATTGTGGTCAAAAACAAATTCTTGATAAAGCCCTATATGTCAACTAATCATTCATATTGCTGTGTGAAGTTGATTTGTAAGTATCATGTGATGGTAATAATAGGCTTAGTAGCCTTATAAATATAAAATACCCTTAGTACCCTTAGAATATAAAATACTCCTAGCATAACACGCTGCAGACCAATGGGGAAGCAATAGTCCAGCCCTGTAGAGTTAGACAACTGTAGTATCAATACTGAATCCAAATATTTTATTCCCTGAGTTTTCACATCTATGCTTTTTCCTATATTGTTGTTTTCAAAATTACAATGCCTCTCTTTAAAGTATGTGGTCTTTTAAAAAGATTTAATTTATTGTGTTATTTCACAGCAAGTGACATTGTAGAAGGGAATTCTGAGCCCCATGTGACATGGCATGAATCATCTCTTGGCGTGAGGTCTTAGTTTCCCTATCTACAAAACAAGGAGTTGCTATCAGAATATCCTTTCTGTTTTAAGGCACACAGTTACAGCAGTCAAGTTCACTTACTGGGCAGTGCCGTAGTAGCCGGCATTAGACAGCTCTGAGGGGCTTCCCTTAGCAAGGGCGGAACCCAGCATTCTACCCCGAGGAAGTGCAGCCAGTCTGAGGAGGCACAGCCTAAGCTGAAGGTGTTCCAGAGGTGCCATAAACTTGAAATGCAAATTAAAGCTTTCAGCTTAAACA